TGATGAGAATGATAGCCATAGTGATAAATATTGGTTAGCTATGGCTGCAAGGTGTTTATAATAAAGTATCCATCTATCAAGTTATAAAGGAGAAATAAAGACAATAATACTTATATTTTCTGTTCTAAAACGTCAAAATTCTAACGAAGAAGAGAAAAATCGTGTTAGTAATCGTGACGACACCAGTATCCTCACACGTAAAAGTAAAATTGTTGAATTTTATCAGTATCGTTATGATAAATAATAACATAATAACAATAAATATCAAGATCCAGATAATCATGTTACACTTAATAATAATGAAGATAACAATGATGATAATGATAATAAATTTAGAAGTAATGATAATGATACGGAAAAACTAATTTAAGATAACTGCATCAGATTTAAGAGAAAAGCGTTTTTCATGGAATTAAGTACATTTGAGGAACGAAAAAGAGACTAGAAAATTTCAAAAAATGTTTGATCAAAAACGCAAAGAAATAAAAAAAGTCACGGTTTCGTTGCTCCTTTGTAAAAGAAACAGGACTTCATAGATACCTTCTAAATTTCCTTTTCCTTGCATTTTCGCGGAACATGTCTTGTTTTTTTTTTTTTTGCTTTAAGATCGTACCAAGATATCTGAGAGCTTAATTTACCTCACTCTCATCCACAGAAGTAAAGATGACGCCAAATCAATATCATTTTCCTACCTTCTATTGACTTTGTTTATGTATCCATTCAGAACATGACAATTGGGTTTTTATTTTCCTTTGTTATTTATATATGGAGTTAAAAATTATGTTTCTTCGAACGCGAATTTTTTTTTATTACCTTATCTTTGAAATGGAACGAGACAGAAACAAATGCAAGAGCCTATCGTAGTTTATTCATTTCGTTGGTTTCGTTTAATTAATTTTAACAGGAAAACACTGACAAAATTGTTGACTTTTTTGGAGTGTTTGGTCGTTAATTGCCCATATTTGCATTAAGTTTTTAGTTACAAAGACAACGATAAACGCAAAATTCAATTTGAATTCATTTTAGCCAGTCGGGCTGAAGTTATCTTGACAATAAACTGTCAGGTTTTCAAATAACGTGAATGATAATTAGGCATTTTGTACAGAGAGTCTTTTTGATTTGTAGTTTCGATAATCAATATAATTGCTTTGGGACAATTTTTCCACTTAGTAATGGCCAATATGTAATGAAAATATATGTATTTTTTACGATAACATTGAAACTTTTGACAAATTTACCCTGAGGTGATTACAAACTCACACAAAATTAGCAATTATTCATCATCAACGAACCCTTATAAGACTCAAGGAATTGCCGCATTTAAAAGAGTGATTGGGTCTGTTAACAGTAAACTAAGAAGTCAAACACAAACCAAGCGTTACAGCATCGGAAATGGGAGCTTTTCAAATTATTTCCCGGAGTGTTAATTCACTTGCCCACCTGCTTATCCATGACGTCATTAAGAAATGTCGTATAGGCTTCTTTTTTAAATTAAATTTGTAAACACCGTGTCGATGTCATTGTTTGATCGACCATATCAATTACAGCGCTTAGGGCTGGCTTCCTCGGTGTTCGTGTTCACCGAGTGTGAAAGGCAGATGTGGTAAAAACGATCTTTCCCGGCCGATTCAGGATTGAACTAAAATATCCCAAACCACGATTTGATACCAGAGTACATCACGAACACATTATTATTGTGATATTTTTGAAGCTAGGATTTTGAGCTCAGCCGTTACGGTAAGTTCGCTAAATTTGTGGACTTTTTCCCCTTTTTTTTTACGTCTCTTACTCAATCATTTCGATATAAGCGTAAAGGGAAACACACAATGTTTTCTAGAACTGAGAGGTGTTTGTCTTTTCTGTTAGTGACAATTTTATCTTGGCTACCGCGCGCTTTAAAGAATCCAAGGTGATGATAACATTTCGTTGTCGCTGAGATTTTCGTTGTGCACAATTTGGTAGTATGCTTTCAGTAAATACCAGTTATTGTGGAAAAGAATATTCAATTTTCGGAAGCTACTAAAAAAATTTCGCGCGTCGAGGAAGTCGCCCCAAGTTTATTTGAATAACTTTTTCTTGAGCATCCTCGCTAAACACAGCGGAATCAGAGTGATTATGCCTCACGGAGTCATGCACAAACTCGAAGGATAAACCTACCTAAGGCAGGAGTTAAATTGAATGCGATTTCGTATAATCGAGGGTTCAAATTTTAGAGAGAATTTGCCACGGCTTACTTGATTAAGAAGTGTTATCTTGCTTAACTGCTCAGGGTGCAATTTTCCTTCACTACCGCAAGTTTCTTCTAGTTCCCCGAATTGTATGTGGTGTAGTATTATTCGGCAGGTTAAAAATTTCAACTGTAATTGTAATCGACGTTTAAAACGTGTAATCCTATTTTTTTTGAACCAGATTATTCTTCTTTATAGAACTGAATGCGAGCTGGTGCTTTCAGCTTAAGTGCGAAAAGGGGTTTACACATGCAGGCCAGCAAAAAATATTCCGAACATAACATCTCCCATTTTATTCTAAGTGTCTTTCGCGAAGTTTTAGTACACTGTCACCAAGACCATTTTGTTATCTTAGCTATTGTCTCCAGGTGTTTTGTTGTTCTTTAGACAAAGGACTGTATCATACGAAGGAAATTCAAAAACAAAACAAATATAAAATGAAAAAAATAGAGGGAGAGGGCGAATGAGAGCGAAAAGGCTCTTAATCCTTTTTGAGGATAAGCAATTTCAGTGGCTTCCCTCAGCTTTGAGTTTTAATTTAAAAATGTGCTGTATTCAGAATGTAAATATATTCAACTGTGTAAGACAATTTGAACACGGAAAACTCAGCATTACCAACTTTTTTTTTTTTTTTTTATTTTTTTTATTGCATATTCTTAACCTGTGGGATTTAACATGTTTCTGACCTTTTATAATTCCTTCGATCAAAGCAGAAATTTACCATTTTTCAAGTTTGTACCTAGGCAGGTCTAAAAATGTACGAACCGATCCTTAGCCTTATATTTGTTGATCCAAAGACACTACATCGGCTGGTTTACAAAGTTTTAACAACACTCATGCTGTTATCGATAGAGGCTGCGATGGTATACTCAAAATCATCTAATGAAGCGCACATTTTAGGGTATCGAAAGCCAAATGAACGAAAATGTCATTCAAAAAACATTCTATCGTTCTCACGGCAACGAACAAACAAGTTGTGTAGTTTTCATGCGCTAGAATGAGAAGATAAAAATCCCCAAGGGCCCTATATATATGATATCTATCGAATGCTAGGTTGGACTTCGAAGATAGAAATTAGAAGGTAGTTCATTCTTGCTAAACTATATTGTTCTTAAACCTTCTGTATTACATACTTCCTTTGTCATGGCGGAGTTTTACTTTACATAACAAAAGTGTTATATCATAATTAGTGTTCAAGGCGATACCTCTTAAAAGCGACCAGCGGGCGAAACCACATCACTTAATTTGCAATATCTGTCAAAATAGTTCACAAATTCGCGTAAATAGCCTCATTTGGACAGAAGCAAATATTATCCTTTTTTTTAAAACGAAATAATTTTCATGTGCGTTAGTTTGTCCAAAACGACTCGCAGCCGGACATTTATTTTAATGGTATACTGCGCTGCGGTTTTCGCAATGTTTAAGAACCTGTTGTCAAAATGTTTGTAATTTGTGGTTGGAAACGAACGCTATTTTCTTTGGCTGCACCATGCTAAACACCGCTATGAGCCCGGATTAATCAGTTCAACGGCTAAAGATCTACAAGCGACGACGGGGAGCTTTTTTTCTTTCAAATGCTGGCAGGATTTAAACAATCTCCTCTTGGATACCTCTAGGCTCTTCGCATTTTGTCAGCTGAGAGATGCTTGAAATCAGCATCACATTGTTTGCCTTGTTTGCCACAAACGCGGGGTTGAATTTAATTTTTAACATTTCAAAATTATGAAAAATAGTGTGTAGGCGTATAAGATGGCTTAGCTATGTGAATTTGTAAGAAACCATGCGAAAATTTAAAAACATATTATTTTCAATTAACAATGCCATAAAATGTATTCATTTTTGTCATAATTTTTTTTTTCAATTAACGAATAGGCATACTTTCGGAATCCTAAGTTTTCGACAATGAAGGTACCAGTTTGCAAGGATATCGCCTTCATTTATTAATATTTGTCTCTCGTACGAAAACCAAGTTGAAAACGTAGAGCGAAGAACATTCGAGCTTGTTTAAAAGTTTAAGTCATTGTCTTGAGATTTCTCAGTGATTATTATTTTGATTTTCGTTTCATCGCACTTCGTTGATGTTAAGACTACAAAACGCAGGCTGCTTTCGTTTTACAAAGGCGAAAATAAATCTCACGCTTAATTTAAGTTTAGACTCTAATTGCTTGGCCTGCGTTTATTATTATAAACGCAACTTAATGATTTTAATTTACATGTATATAAACTCATATCAAAACCAACTATAATTGACTACACTCTCACTTGCCGTTATTATTATTATTATATATTTTTTTTTTTAATTCAGCCAACGTCAGGTTTACCCGCTTGATAATGCCGGAAACTTCTATACAACTATAATGCTGGTGTGATATACAAATTATACGAGTCTGGCCCCAGTGAGAGGTCTGTAGCGCGTGGTATGCGGTGTAAACGCTATTTTGGCGGGCAGATAGTAACGCCATAATATCAGGGTCTAATGAAGAAAACACAAGCGTCGATAGAAATCATCTTCTTCATATAAAATAGCATCAGTCAGACAACAGAATGCTTAAAGCTTACAACGCCGCGATAAACTTTCCCCCTCTCCAAACTCCTCGACAGCGACGAATCACAAACCATATACCATCTTACAAACCAGCGTACAATAGCCCACGAGTTACCATCAATGTCAGCGGTATGCGCTATGAGACATACGAGGAAACCTTGGGAAACTTTCCGGACACTCTACTCGGCTCTCCATCAAGACGCAGGGAATTTTACAGCACGGCACAAGATGAATACATTTTCGTTCGAGATAGGCCGTCGTTTGACGCCATTTTGTTTTTTTACCAATCACGCGGTATACTTGCCAGACCGCCAACGGTCAGTGAAGAAACATTTCTGCAAGAAATTGAGTTTTACGGTTTGCCCGGCAGTTATTACTCAGACAACTTCGAAGATCTGTCGGCCTCGCGAGAAGATGTGGAGGACCTTTTACCCCTTAGCCCACACAAACGAAAGCTATGGCTATGGTTCGAGTATCCACGGTCATCAAGAACTGCGCGGATTCTTGCTCTTTGGTCGATTTTCGTCATTATGTTTTCGACTGTTGTGTTCTGTATCGAAACTATTCCAGCGCTTGCGCTTCAACCAAAGACAACTTACCAGAACGTTAGCGTAGGAGGCCATTACACCCGTGTGCCTTACCAAGAAAATATTGTTGATTATTGGTTCGTTATGGAGGGGATATTCGTCGCATGGTTTACCCTTGAGTACTCTATTCGTCTATATTCAGCACCAGTCGTTTGGCATTTTGTCAAGTCCACAATGGGGATATTAGACGTTTTAGCTATTATGCCATTCTATGTAACGTTGGCATTTCAATCCAGCACCGAGGAGGTGCGTTCTTTCGCCGTGTTACGCGCTATAAGATTATTCCGAGTTCTGCGTGTTTTTAAACTCTCCAGATATAGTGATGCCGTCAAATTATTAGTCAACACTATATACTCCAGCGTAGAGCAGCTCAAGACTTTAGGATTTTGCATCTTAGTAGCTGTAGTGTTATTCTCTAGCGCAATTTTCTACGCCGAAGGCGATCCAAACATTACAAGTATTCCAGACGCCTTTTGGTGGACGATAATCACCATGACAAGTGTAGGTTATGGTGATGTGACTCCCATTACTCCCCTGGGAAAATTTGTGGGTGCATTTTGTGCCATGAGTGGGGTGGTACTGTTCTGTCTCCCCACACCGGTCCTGGTATCTAATTTTGTCAGGTTTTACCTTCAGTACGGAGATCTTACCGAAAGGAAGCGAGCTTTTGCTCACAATTTAAAGCAGTTATTCCTTAGGTCAAACAAATGAGAAAGACTTTTGCTGCTCTGCTGATATGGTCGGTGGAGGGCCGCTGTATCCATCCATCCATTAGTAGAGGACCTCAATGGGAACATGGCTTTTACACCTAACGGTTAAATTTTTGGCCACGGTACGGCTAACGATTAATTTCTTTCTTTTAAAGTTAAAGCAAAAAATGTTATTTTTACTCTCTTTAGGACTAACAATTAAAATTTGTCAACTTTTACGCTCAACAGCTAATGTTTTTGCCGTTTTGAAGTTAACGGTTTACTCCATTAAGGCCCTCTCAGTACATAATTTGTTTTATTTGTCCCCACTAGTTTTTTTACATTCTATGGAAATATTTTGTTATTAGGTCACTGACTCTTCAGCGCTACGAGTATCATGAGAATAAGGGAATTAAGTAAAATATTTCCAATTAATATGTTACTCAGCTGAAACGAAAAGTGTGGTGAACAAAATGGCAGACTGAAAACCGAAATTTAATGGTCGATTTTTAACTCCAATTTTTGTTCTAAAGCGTTCCTTGCGGCTTTCTTTCAACTTTACGATTGGTATAAGAGTCAGAGGTTAATTCTGCTCTCGAGCCAAATGGCCTCAGCTATTCGGAGCGCTTGCAATGCTCCCAGTAACATTGAGCGACCAGGGCTTATTGCTATTCCCCTTCGATGAGATTCGATTTCAGTCCAAGTCAGGTTACTTCTCTACATTCCGTCGGGCAGAAACCGTTTTATCAAGAGCATAACACAATATCTTAGCGAAGCCGGACTCGAACCGAGACATCTCCACCTGAGTTTCAACGCGCTAATCGTTACCCCACCCTTCCTTCCATTTAGGTAAACTAAATTGATTCAACACCGGGGTTTGGAGTCGATAGGATATTCTGAAGATGTGATATTTATCCAGGATGGCGTCAGTCACAGAACTTGCATAACAAACGTACCTCCTAGCGAGAGAGCTCCCAGAATTCCTATTGTTCGTCACAGCCGCTATTTTAAATTTATTTCGTAAGATCAAGGAAAGTCTGAAGCGAGTTTGGAAGTGCACTAAAGGGGTGGTTATGATAGTGACATCGCTGCAAACATGTACAAATATTAAAGAGCCACGCTCAACCAGGGTGCTCTGCGCGCATAATGGCCGGCCTCAGCACTTTCTGTTTTACAGAAAGGAAAGGTTCACCTTCTTCGCGCTTGTTAAATGACGCGAATAAAAATCAAGTATTGGAAGGCCTAGTCTTCTTTACAATTCGTTTTCATGTCAAGGATTGATTCTCTGTTAAACCTCTCGCTTTTGTACACTTTTGTGTCCAAAAATACAATTTCCGAGCCTGCATTTTCAGCTTGGAATTTGAATGTGGCGTGGTAGCGGTTTGCCTGTCTTTCAGAACTTCTCTTTTGTTTTTAGTTGTGTAATATAAGTCTTCCAAACCAGCGTTTAGTTCCCTTCTGGGTGACCATCCACTTTTATTTTTGCATTGAAAATACCGGCAAATGCTACGGCCGCGGGTTTGTGAGAAAAAGTACTCCAGGATAAAAACAATCACAAAGGCGCGCAAAGCGCATTGGTTGAGTGTGGTCCTTTAAAATAGAACAATATGCGTACGGCACATCCAATGCTCCTTATTTTTTCTACGCAATCGATCCCTGCTATGGAGTTTACTCTTAGTACAGTTAGGTAATCGAGTTAAGAGCAGAAGGGGAATAACCAGGGAGGATGGGTAGATGTTATGTTTCGTCCTCAGTCTTATTTCACTCTTCGACAGAATAATACACTTATATGCAGACCTTCAGTCTCAAAAAAGATGAGTCCCCGGGGACATAACGAGCTGGTCAAGTATCGATTAAGGGGTTTAAAAGACTGACCACTAAGGCTCTTGCTATAAGATGCGAAACAAGAAAAAAAAAAATACAAATCAAGAAAAGGTGTTTCATTATTCATAACCACCATTCGGATTATATTTGCATCTCAAAAGAACTGAAAGCTTTGTACAACAAAGACGAAGTTATCTGTTACCAAGATTTTGTGTTGAGTGCTATTTATCTGTAGTTGTCTTTTTTTCACAAGAAGAATCACGCAGGTGTAATAAACGGCACGCCAAGATCACAATTTTTGTTTTGGGATCTTTAATATTAACTAATTATTCTTTTTTAAGGTCCGTCTTTTTCAAGGTTTCTAATATTTTAAGGATAGCTACGAATGCTTTGTTTTGCATATCGAGTTTTTGTTTTGTGGTTCGATTTTTCTGAATAGACTCCCAAGAGAGTAAATTAAACCCAATTAAGCCACACTTGTACGCTAACAAACCAGCTGAAAGGAAATCAATACTCAAAATAAATACTGCAGTGATTAGGAAATGTAGAAATGTTTCTTAGAGGATTTGCAAGACTTTAACACCCGTCTTTGAGACAGTTCGCCTTTGAAAACAACCTCTGGGCTTGCATTGTGCTCCTTCTTAAAGTTTACATCGATAGATATGGCAGGCAAAAGTCTCTTTCGTGATGATGTTCCCGAAGTCGTGATCAAGAGCATTTTCAGAAAATATAACACAGATAACAGTGGATGCTTAGAGAAAGCCGAGATTTTAGCGATGCTGCGAGACATGGGATTGGACGAGAAACAGGCAGAAGTTTGTTTTATGCTAGTCGATAAAGACGGAAATATGAGCGTCTCTCTTACAGAGCTTTTACTGTGGTTCCGTGCCGGTGAAGGTTTCAAAGTGATTGACGATAGAAACCGATACGCGTACGTCCGAAGAGTTGCCGACGAATTTATAAAGTACGATAGAAACGCGAGCGGAGTGATTGACAGAGAAGAGTTTCGAGCTTTGTTGGCTTCCGGAAGCAAGGAGTGGAACCAATGCAGCGAGGAGCAGATCGTGATCGCTCTTAAAAGTGTGGACAAAGATGGCAATGGAACTGTCTCCTTCTCTGAATTTTTGGCTTGGATGGACAGGGCAAATGCAAATAAATGTAGAAAATGACCGTTTTGATCGGGAAGCGAAAACAGCCTCTTGATATTTCTTCTTTAAATTTTTTGAAAGCGGTGTTGAAAATGACTTTTTGATCGAAAAAATTTTCAAACAGGAAGTTTGCCAATGCTTTGAGCTGAGTTATAGTACATTTCCATGGCATTTCTTTTTAGGGTTTATACAGATATAGAGGTGACCTCCAGTTATCATTAAGTTAAATTGTCTCATATTTATGCTGATTGAAAACTTTGCCAATTTATACTAGAAAAAAAAAAAAAAAAAAAAAAAAAAAAAAAGAAAAATCCGCTTTTTCCAGAACGCGAACAGGCTCGATCTTGATGCTCGATCATGCCGTCAATTGCTGATCTCCATGCTTGGGTAGCTATGTGACTTTTTATCTCGGGTCTCGACCAAGAGACAACCTGGTATAATTTTGTACAGAATTAAAGATCGGTGGATTGTTTACAACTATGGAAACATTCGGTACAAACCAACCGACGGGCAGCTGGTCTGAGCAACAGTTAGGCGCAATGTCTTATCGATCCACGTCAGTATCTGTCCCCGAAAAATTTGTAAAGTTTAATGTTTAGATGGTGTATTTTGAGAGAAATCAATTTTAGATTGATCTGAGACATCCATTTATGATGTGGCAAAAGCGATTCCTAGCGCCTCAAGATTCAAAATAGGTACAAAAAGAGGACCGGCTCGATCTCGCTGCCAAAACATTGATTTCTGTCATTGACTAATTTCTAGCGAAATTCAGTGGGCCTCATAGCTTAATACTTTTATGAATTAGTGGATAGTTTGTTCGATGAATTTGCTTGCATGAGCTCCCGCTGTTTGCACGAAATCACTGATAAAGTATCAAGACGATGGTCCAAAAGTACATTCAGCCCCTTTTTTTTTTGCTGATTCATATGCGTTCATCTGTGTACCTTTGAATCAATAAAAGTAAGTATTCGAACGGTGAGGCAAACATTTAAAAATTTGTTTCGATAATGAAGCAGTTACAGTATTTAAAAACTAATTTGAACTTTGAAAACCGGAAACCGCAAAGACAGATTATATGGAGATCGTCAACTGCGTTTTCATTGAGTATAAATGAAGAATAACTTCCCAGCGTAGCGCGAAATTTAAAATAGACTTTAAAATTTCCCTGGGTCACTGGGATAAGTTCTTTCCGTTGATATTGTCTTATGCTGGTGTCTATAAATTCTCGATATTCTCAGAAATACGCTCTTTTAAGGGCGTATTTTTGAGAATATTGAATATCGCCTTAAAGGGTACTGGCTCTGAAAAGATACCTTATTATAATTATCCCGTATTAATTTGATACATTTTAGAATCATTTTACAAATGTTTCGTAATTGCTGAACACTTTTAGCAGACACTTCAAACAGATACTGAAATTTCACCTAAGATTTATCTTTTATTTTGTTTTGTTGGTGTGGTTGTTTTTTTTTTTCAGTAATCAAGTCTATAATGCAGTAAAATCCTTTCTCCCTATCACTTGCTCTAAAGTTATGCCCGATACAAGAATTTCTTTCCCTTTCCCTGAAAACTGAACTGAGTAAAATCCTTGGCTAATTATATAAAGGCTTCCGTTTTGGCTACCTAGTATCCCCTAGTCGCTGCCACAGTACCGGAGACTGAGCCCAATTAGGCGTCCTAACCAAATTGTAGATAAAGAAGAAGCCACAGTTTCGTACTTCAACGCCAGATTTAGAATGGCACTCATCTATCCAGTGGAAACAGACTTCCATAAGGACCTTAAAAAAAAAAAAAAAACAAAAAAAACAAAAAACAAAAAACATTAGAATGAATATACAAACGAGAGAGGAGATAATTTTCATGTTCCGTTCTATTTTGTCTCGAATTATGGCATTGAGTGTGGGTTGCTCATTAGTAATTATTTTATAAATCTATTAAGCGGATGGCTGTTTGCATTGGCAGCACTCTCAAAAGACTTTAAGTCATGATGTTCAACAAATATCAGTGCCATCAATGAAACGAATGTTTTCGATTTATATACATTGGTTTAAACCCTTCACCTGCCAAGTCAAGGAAGAAAAAAAAAAAAAGAATCAGTGAACAAAGTATCAGCCGAGCTACCAATCACCTTTCCGTCGTCAACGGATGGATGTTCCCCGTTCAACCAGCTCGGAGTGTTCGTGTTACATTTTTTCTTTCCTGGAGGTGAGGTAGCCATCTTTGAACCTGCGGCTTCAGTGAAACGGTACCATCCTGGGACGAATGCTTTGTCACACTGCGATTGCGCGCCACGCTGACTGAATTTAATATTTCTGTCAGCACTGTCCAGAACTTTGTAGTCCAGTCCTTACACTCTAATTTGAGATATCATCAAAAGAGACAAAGCTTGATAACATTTGGGCATACCTCTAACTAGCTCTCTCGGCAATCCATAGCAACAATATAGATATACTTGCTAAAGTGGCGGGAAGTAAAACTTTCCAAAAAAAGGTGTGATATCCACTCATTAGTTGAATCGCTTTTAAAAACAATGATTCATGGAAAACAATCTTATGAGATGTAGAATTTACTTGAAGTTTACGGCAAGCTCGAGTTTTCAAGGGCTCTCAAATAAGTAGGAGTAAATAATCATGACGAGAAAAAAGGAAAATAGAACAAAAACAAAAACCAATACCAAAAAGGAAAAAAACAGGCAAAAAAAGACAAAAATTAAGAAAACAGAAAACCAAAAACAGAGCAAACTTAGATATTAAATGTATGACTAAAGCCCATGAGAAAAAATGTTTAGACTCAATTTAAAGAGAAGTTCGATTAGCGAGGCTTCGATTCATCTGCGACCTTTTGATGAGGTTCTTCGACAATTTATCGGAGTGTATTAATAATGTACCTGGTGGGGAAGGTTTTGCAGGCGGAGCGGACTTTTCGGCGATGGCTTCTTCAGTTCTGCAAGCTCTTTCTCCACAGCTTCGAGTCACTTTGTCAGTAGCTCGACCACTGAGCAAACTGGAAATAAATTACCGCAGTAAGAATAAATATAGAGAAACCTTGCAGAATTAAACACCCTTACTTGAGACTGAAAAGTTTTATCCAGTACTATTCTTGAGGCAGATTTCCTTATCAACAGTGGTCAATATTGATCTACAATTTAGGTTTAGCAAAACTCTTCGATTCATGGAGAGTTGAACTTTCAGGTATGCTTTTCTTCTCAATTTCTTTGTTTATCTTGTTGATATGCAGTTATCTTTATATATAACTTTCTTCGCGAATATCTGTTTAATTCATTTTAAGTTACACCAGCTTGTTTCTTAAAAATTTCATAGAACTGATGTTATTCTAGATATGAACGCTTTAAATAACGTCAAGCAAACCGCTTTTCATCATATCAGATCATTTTCTATAACTTTTTAATTTCAATTGTTTTTAAAAGTGATCCAACTGATTTGTGTATATCACACCTTTTAGCTAAGAAAGTTTTAATACCCGTCATTTTAGCAATATATAGACACTGTTGCTAAGGATTGCCGAGGGAGCTAGCAAGAGGTATGCGCCTAAACCATATTAAGCTTTGTCTCTTTTCGTGATATCTCGAGCTCTAGAGTGTGAGTACTACAAAGTTCTGGAGAGTGCAGACAGACTTATTACTTTCGATGACCTGAGCTCGGCCAACATTGTGACAGAGCCATCGTACCCGGATGGTACCGTTTCACTGGAGCTGCAGGTTCAAAGATGGCTACCTCACCTCTACAAAATTACAAATGTAACACGTACGCAACCGGCTGGTTGAACGGGGAACATCCATCTGTTGCCGACGGAAAGGTGACTCTCGGGTAGCTCTGCTAATACTCTATTTATTGATTCTTTTTTTTTTCTTTCTTCTTTACTGCAGAAAGAAAGAAAGAAAGAATACTGAAGAAAGAAAGAATAACAATAGAAAAAAGCTGTTTCTGCAGAATACTCACCTTGCAAAGGAAGAATTTCATCTCTTTCAATTGAAGAGGATCACGTAGGAAGTATCTCTGGGAAATTCTGAGTTAACGTTAAAGCTTATTTATTTGCACTGGCACATGACGGGTTTAAATCAATCATAGCAAACGGAACATTTGTCACGTTGATGCCACAGATATTTGCTAAAGGAAGTGAACATCACGAGTTAAGTATTTCGAGAGTACTGCAAAATAGCTATCCTGTTAATTCCTTTCCTTACAAAAGAGGAACGCACGCTACCCTCAATGTCGCAATTCGAGAATAAAGAACTCTTTCGTTTATCCACTCCACTTTGTGTGTGTGTGTGTGTGTGTGTGTGTGTGTTTGCGTGTTTTTTTTTCTTTGTTAAGGTCATCAAGGAAGTCTGTTTCAACCAGTTGGATTCGTGTCATTGGAAAGGTACCGTTGACGTACGAAACTGTGGCTCGTTCTTTGTCTATAATTTGGTTAGGACGCCTACTTGCCATCTCAGATATTGTGGCAGCGACTAGAGGATAACGAGTAACCAAAACGGATACCTTATATGATTAGCCAAAGATCTTTTACTCAGCTCAGTTTTCAGGGAAATGGGAAGACATTCTGTTATCGGGCGTAGGTTTATAGTTGGTGAAATGTCAGTATCCTAAAAGGGTTCGGTAATTACGAAACGTTTCTAAACTCAACTTGTAACGCTTTCTTAATCAACTGAAGATGACAGAGGTTTCTGTCGAAACATGTCTTAAACTCAAAAGTTTTGTCGTTTTCTTTAGGTTTCTAAATAGTTCTAAATTGTTTCAAACACGGGATAATTGGGTATCCTTTCAGCACCAGTGCCTTAAGAACGTATTTCTGAAAATATAGAAGGAAAATCAGTGGACTTCAAGACCATTTTATTTCAGTGAACCACGATAATTTTTCTTAAAAGTCTATTATAAATTTCGCGCCAGCCTGGGAAAGTATTATTTATTCCTCCCAGGAAAACGCAGTCAACGATCTCGATATCATCTGTCTTTGCGGTTTCCGGTTTTCAAGTCTTAAATTAGATTTTAAAAACCGTAACCGCACATTATCGAAATAAATTTCTTGATGTTTGCCTCGCCAATACTTACCTTTATCGATTTATAGGCCCACAGGTGTTTGAATCAACAAAAAAATTTGCCTAACTGTAGTTTTGGCTAGCTCAACGTCTGCTGTTGTATTTATGTTTCTTTTGTAATTTCATGCAAGCAGCAGGAGCTCATATAAGTAAAGTCATTCACCAAACTCGCTCTCCACCAATTCATAAAAGTAACATGCCACGAAGCTAACTGAGTTTTTTACTAGAAACTACCCAATGTCATTTAGCAAAAATTCAGCGGTAGCAGTTAGTGTTTTGGTCCTCTTTTCTATCCATTCTGAATTGTAAGGCGCTGGAAGTCGCTTTTGCTACATCATAAATTGATGTTTTAGATCAATTCAAAATTTTTTTCTCTCAAAACAATTCTACGTTCGATACACCATTTAAACGCTGAGCTTTATGTATTTCTTGGGCATAGTTGCGTGAATCCATCGGAAATCGCGCCTAGCTGTTGCTCAGACGAGCTCCCCTTCGGTTGGTTTATATATGTATTAATGCTTTCAGTCTTTTCATTTTCTCTCAAACCATGGGGGAGCTTGTGAACAGTCATCCTCTATTTAAAAAAACGAAAAAACCACCTAGGCTTCGAGTCTTTAAATCTATGATAGAACTGCAATTCTTCCAATTGAATTCGAACTTAAGCTTTAAATTCGAAAGAAGGAAGTGAAAGGAAACGAAATAACACTAACATTTAGTGGTATCAGGGACTAGAAATAAACATGCGATACGCAAAATACCGTTTAAGTTAGATACGAAAGCACTAGGACCTGAAATTAGCCCCATGCCTTGTTAAAAACAAAAAAAAATGAGAAAAAAAAATTTCAAAAAATAAGCTCTTCAAGTGGCTAGTGTGTCGGCTGACGATGTCCGCGGCTGATTTATTTTCCGATAACTAAATATTTGGCCGATAAGCAAAGTTTTGAGGATGTGACATTTTGAGAACAATCTCTTGGCCAAGGACATTATCAGCCGAGATACCGGCAAGCCAGGAGGGGGTTTATTTATTTTTATTTACAATTCTTCATTGATTTTCGTATCACTCTTTAACAGAAAACTTTGTTGACTTTTTAGTTCTTTCCGGAACAGCATTTGAGATCAGCTTTTTGATGATGAGTTCGTTTTTCTTCTGTGCAAAGATGAAAACATGAAAAACTTGAGCTGGCTTTTTTTCCCCTGCCTCTGTTTCTTTTCGATGGTAATAATCGGAGGACAAATATAGAGGCATGCGGATGTTATTGCGTTATTGCGTGATAGCTGTCCAGTGATTTTGCACCACGCGACGTGAAGTAGCAATGGAATCGCTTGAAAATTAAGGAGTAGGTTGAACTGTTCTTTGTCAGTTACGTGTTGCGTGATCTTTCGAAATAGGATACCTTGAGGTCATTCGAGGAAAACAGATCAGTGATATTAAAGAATATTGCATCAAAAGTCCTTTCCGCTGCTTCGATTTGGTAAAAAGAAGCAAAGCACTCTAGCTTTGGCACGTCTAACAGCGTTGCACGAGCTACAAAAATAACCATGATAGAGAGAGGTGACAGCCGTGAAATACTTTACAAGTTTTTCTCCGTGTTATCTGTTTTTGCCATTGTGTTCACGTTTGCTTTGTTTGTGAGAATCGAAACAGTCGCTCGAGAATGGAAGGTGATGGACTCAAAGTTCACGCTGCAAATTCAACAACTTCAAGATACTCTAAGAGAATCAGCTTCCCTCGGCCGGAAAGGAGGCTTTGACATTTCTAAAGGTACAGGTGAGATTATTGAAGTTGACTTCTTTATAGTTACTTCAGCAGTAGAAGTAGCAGTAGTTATTTCAGCACCCGAGGTAGACGAGCAGCATGCTGTCGAGACGTCTTGGTCCACGTCAGACACACGACACACAACGACGATAATTCAAATTTAAAATCAAAATAAAATTTTTGGTTTAAATTAAAAGAACACATAATTTACAAACCACATTACCATTCGACACAGTTTAGCGAGAGAGCGGCAGCCCTTGTTTCAAGGCTGATAACTTGGAAAGAAACTTTTTGGGGCTGCGTCGGTGGGACTAACGAAATAATTTGGATATATCAACAAAGTTGAAGTGGTAAATTGGCCACCGTAACGATTACAAAAGCTGACGTTTCGAGCGTTAGCCCCTCGTCGGAGCGACGAAGGGCTAACGCTCGAAACGTCAGCCCTTCGTCTCGGAGCTCGAAACGTCAGCCCTTCGAAACGTTAGCCCTTCGTCGGAGCGACGAAGGGCTAACGCTCGAAACGTCAGCTTTTGTAATCGTTACGGCGGCCAATTTACCACTTCAACTTTGTTGATATATCCAAATTATATAACCCTTGTTTCAGTTCTACTCAAGCTTTTCAAACTTACTTTTACCCATTTATTTTGTTATGTTATGTTATTTATTTATTTATTTATTTAGGATTCTCCTGCACACCTCTAAAATCAGTAATCAATCTGACGGCTATCTATCTTATCCCTCCGTAAATTAACAGACTGAATGGTGGAAAAATGCCAATGGCTTGACCTTATGTTAGAACATTTCAACATCTGGTATTCAAAATATCTCACAGTCCCTACAGCATTAACGACATGCAACGTTAGGCAACATTGAAACTCTCTTGAAATTAGAAAATGAACATCGATCAATGACGAAATTGATCCAAAGAGATCAAAACATCAGGATCCAGTTGCATAAAGGACGGATAACGCTATCCACCGAATAAATCGCTTTCGGGCGGATAAGTGATAGCAAAACGTATAGCGTTATTCTCCGGATAGAGTTTTACCCAGTGGATAGAGTTATATATCCAACCTTCGAACAACCGGGGCCAGTTAATTTGGTTACTTTGTCATTTTAGGCATGCAATTTAAAACCACATTTGTCCGTCGCAGCTTGGATACATATAATTCTAATGATCCTATGGGTCTGCGAGAAGTGGGAGAGGCTATCAAGAGATATGTGCAATCGATTATGAAAGGATATGTCTGTCAAAGTCCGGACAGGGTCTGTGTGGCAGGGCCTCCCGGACTCAAAGGAAGTCGTGGTTCCCCTGGAGAACAAGGAGCCAAAGGAACAAAGGGAAGAAAGGGAACGCAAGGAGTTATGGGACCTCCAGGAGAACCGGGGAAGCAAGGCATCAAGGGAGATACTGGGCCTGAAGGAGTTAAGGGAGAGAAAGGTAAGTAAGACAAACAGCTTTTAAATAAAACCGAAAGATATTGTACGCCGGCTTTTATTTAATCATTTGGGTGCATCTTCTTTGTTTACTTTTTCAGAACCTTTTTCTTGTTTTAGGAATTTTTATGAGTTTGTCTGTCTATCTCTTTTTTTTTCCTTATCGTAACCAATATTCTTGTCTAAAGGCTGATAGTTTCGAAAGAAATTGTTTGGGGCTGCGTCGG